CGCCTCAGTCAGCGGGAGACGGGACTGGGGCGCGGCGGGGCCTGCCCCCGAGTTTCTTAGCCGAAAGGCGCGGGCCCTGAGTGCTGAGCTGCGGGCAGGGAGCCCGGGTGGGGCCGTGCAGGCGTCCCTGGGAGTTCCCTGCCCGCCCCGTGGAAATTCGCAGGTGCAGGGGTTACACATCCCCCTTCCTCTCTAATTCCTACGAACCCTTCACTCGGGCTCTCCAGGGCATGGAGTTACTGCTGGTGTTTGTCTGTGGGCAACTTGAGAGCCCAGCCTGCGGCTGGGCGGTGGGGAACCTTGTGCCGGGAGGGACAGCGGTGGGTGCACGGGCGTTCGTCCCTGCCTGGGGCAGGGGCTGCCTGGCGTTCCTGTTTCTTTGGGATCAACCAAAGAGCACAGTTCTCTGGAGTGGTGGGTGACTTGTTCTTGCTGGGGATTTATTTTGATCACAAGGGGTTCTGGTAAAGGCCTCACGTTTTGACAGGTTTGCTGGTCATGTTGCCCGTGTTGGGCTATAAAATACCTTGGGAGAAAGGGAGTTTACAGAAAATAATACTTGTCATCCTTTTATTAGAAGAAAAATAGGGAAACCAGTTGTTTTGAAGGACTGGTTAGAGTGAGACACTGCTGAGAAAGAAAATGGGTTATCTGTATAAAAACCAGTTTTTTGTTATTGTTTCTCATACTAGGAAGGAATTCTGTGTCAGTATTGGCAGAATGCTGGGAATCAATATCCACAGAGAGTAAATGTGATGAGAATGACTGGGTTAGCTCTTCAAGGAATTGTTATTCAACCGTTTTTACTTTGAAGGTTTTCTGAGCAGCATGAGTTCAAAAAGCCAAATGATGACCGTGCTCTTCATCTGATGACCAAGTGTGCCCAGACAGTGATGCAAGAACTGGAGGATATTGCTCTTGCTTATGGACAGAGCGATGAATACAGTTTTGTTTTCAAAAAGAAGAGTAGATGGTTTAAAAGAAGAGCAAGGTAACAGCTGTTTGATACTGAAGTGAACTTGTTTTTAACATCTGGCTTTAAACATGTAATTATTCTTTAGATTTGTGTTCCTCCTCCCACAGAGGTTGGGAGTCAGGCTGTGTTTGGGTGCCATGGCTATAGTTAGTTCAGGTTCTTCCTGTGAGTTCTTTGCCTGTGATCTTTCAGGAAAATTTGTTCAGTGATAGAGGCAAAAAGTAAAAATAAATCAATAAAACAAACTTTAGAAACAAACATTGTTAGAGTGAACATTCTAAAATGCTACCTTTCCCAAACTCTTCTACTTGGTCTTCAGTACTTCCCGGCCATCAAAATACTCTGTGCTGATCTGTTGGGTCACTGTTTAAGAAATGCTGCTCCCCACTAGAATTATCACTACTGATACCTCAGATTATCACAGATATATAATTGTATTGATGTATGTATTTCCTTTTCCTTCTATTTTGTGTTTGCAAGTAAGTTCATGACTCACGTGGTCTCCCAGTTTGCCTCAAGTTACGTCTTCTATTGGAAGGATTACTTTAAGGACCAGCAGCTTCTGTACCCACCAGGATTTGATGGACGAATTGTGTTGTATCCCAGCAACCAAAATTTAAAGGACTACCTCAGCTGGAGACAAGCAGATTGTAAGGGTTTCTAAAAAGTGGAGATCTGTACAGTTGAGTCCTCTTCCTCTCTGAATAGAAATGCTTTTATTGCCAGTGTGTTTATGTATAGAGATACAAGTGAAAGAAAGTAGGTAGGGTGGGAGTTTTAAATAAACAATATTAAAATTGTTTTGGTTTCATATGGGTACAGAAATGCTGGGTGAAATTCTGAGTTTTCAGGCTGCAACTCTATTTGTTGAATCCTGAGAATGAGTTCAGCACAGGAAATACTAGAATTATTAATAGAATTAATTTATTATTTGTAATGTTCTGGGATTGTTTGGCCAAGGTAATCTTCTTTAATCAAGAGAGGTAAATGTTCAAATTCATACCATGTAGCAGTCAGAAGTGCTGCATATTTCATGTTAGAGCAGACCACTGGATTTACTTTCTAGGCTTTTGTTAGTACCTGGTTGCTCAAATGAAGATAATTCTGCTCTCCCTTCTCAGAATTGCAGTGAAATGTGTGATATGCAGTAGCTTAAAAATTGATCTGAAAGATTCTATCTTCACTAGCAACTGATGTTATTAATTACCCTTTATTCTTGCCTGTTTCTTAGATATGACTCTGGAAGTAAAACTCAGATTTGGCAAATAGTCTTTCTCTCTTTTCTCTCTCTCTATAGGCCATGTTAATAACCTTTATAATACAGTGTTTTGGATGCTTGTACAGCGAAGTGGTTTGACACCAGGGCAAGCACAGGACAGACTCCAGGTAAGACTCTTTTGAGGTCATGGGGATTTTTTCCAGCTACAAAGAAGATCCTAAGGTTTGCAAAGCTGTGCCTTGTCTTGCCAAGCCAGCAGCCCTGGCTGGCTTGTCTGTTCTTACTGTAATAATTTTGTGGGTGTAGATTCAACAGCTTCTTGAATCATACAGATTTTAATAGGATTAGCAAGTAATGTATTTTTGGTCAAGTATTGGCAGGAGTTTATTTTCTTAATTAGCAAGTTCAGAAGCCTTAGAAACATCATATAAACATCCAGTGTCCATATGCATGAAGTACAATGGCAGGATTCAGCTACTGTTGATTTTCAGTCCCTTCTGTAGTATTTTGTCTTGTGCAGACTTCAGCAGATTGTTTCTGTCCTCTCCTGGAGTTTGTTGACTTTCTTCTTTGTGTCTTGAAAATGTAATAAAACCCCCTGTTTTAATATCCTTATTTGGCAGTTGGAAATAAATTCTATACTGGGAGAAGTAAGTAAAATTTGTGATTTAAAGGTGAAAAACCTGTATAAATGTCAATCTTACTTCCAAAATTCATCCACCTTAAAGATTAATTTTGTTTGTGTGTTTTCTCTAAGAGTACTATTTCATTTCCTCTCAGGGAACTTTGGCTGGAGATAAGAATGAAATCTTATTTTCTGAATTCAATATCAACTACAACAATGAACCTTTGATGTATAGAAAAGGAACAGTCTTAATATGGCAGAAGGTAAAAAACCTACATTAGCACTTAACTTCAGGCTTATGTTTAAATAGGTACACTGTGGCAGACAAGCTGCATTGTCAGATCACCAGGTGTGTTCCAGACATGTATGTCTATATATAAATACATTTTAAAACTAACCATATTTACCATATAATGGTATGTAAGATGACTAATTGCTCTGGAGATGTTTTTGAGATACCTGTAACTATGAGCACAGGATAAAAACTAGTCTCCCAAGTCTGGCTTGGATATAAATTATGACCATTGAGATAAAACATGTATCAACAGGTGACAATGTGTGGAATTTCGCAAGACTGATGGATTTGCTGAGACATCTCCTTTGTTCAATGAATCATACAGTTGGTTTCATAGTATTAACAGCTTTGAAAATTGAGGAAGTGTTCAGCTTCCTGAAAAATTACATTTTACTAACAGTTGTCAGCTTGATATGGTGATCACTGGGGCCTGTGCCAGGCCCCTCAAAGGATTAGATCCCAAGTATTTCCACTGCAAAGGAATTCTGAACCTTTGTTCAGTAAGGCAGCTCAGCTCATAATATTCTTAGTCCTTTTCTGCTTTTCCAAAGGAGCATAGGAAGGAATACAGCTGTTAATGGGGAATTCCTTTGGATGATAACTTGGAAGATTCATTGTTCTAGGGTTACTTTATTGATCCAGAATTACTGCAAGAAATCCTGTGCTTTGTATGAGATGACACCCAAGAAAATAATAAATTTTTATGGCCTTGGTGTCCTTCTGTACTAGGAGATATTAACTAGAAAGATGTATTTTTTCTGTGATCAGGATCCCATCTATCTATGCTAAGAGTTCTTCATAACTTGCTGAGCTTGTTCTTTGGCATAACTTGCTTCATAGCTTTCACTTCTGTAGATAAAATATATATATATATAATACTTTATTGTCTTTTTGATATGGTGATCACTGGGGCCTGTGCCAGGCCCCTCAAAGGATTAGATCCCAAGTATTTCCACTGCAAAGGAATTCTGAACCTTTGTTCAGTAAGGCAGCTCAGCTCATAATATTCTTAGTCCTTTTCTGCTTTTCCAAAGGAGCATAGGAAGGAATACAGCTGTTAATGGGGAATTCCTTTGGATGATAACTTGGAAGATTCATTGTTCTAGGGTTACTTTATTGATCCAGAATTACTGCAAGAAATCCTGTGCTTTGTATGAGATGACACCCAAGAAAATAATAAATTTTTATGGCCTTGGTGTCCTTCTGTACTAGGAGATATTAACTAGAAAGATGTATTTTTTCTGTGATCAGGATCCCATCTATCTATGCTAAGAGTTCTTCATAACTTGCTGAGCTTGTTCTTTGGCATAACTTGCTTCATAGCTTTCACTTCTGTAGATAAAATATATATATATATAATACTTTATTGTCTTTTTTTATTTAGATTTAAGCCCACAATTTTTATTACTTCATTTGAACTACTTAGAACAGATAGAGGCCCCCACCTGGAAATATATTCCACTTGCTCCTTAATTGTATTTTTTTCTTGGTAAATGCAGATGTTTGCAAGGCTTTCCATTTGCTTTACATACCTTCAAATTAAATATTGTACTTTATTCCAGAGCACTTGCAGTCAGTTATGTGAATTTTCAGGGAATTTCTTCAACTGTGGTATGCTACAGGGTTTATGGCTGCTCTTGTTGTAGCTTTGTTTCTTGTCCCCATTTGTGAATCCACTCTGAAGTCTCAGATGTCTGCTAATGTGTCAACTGTGTTCTCAGATTAATGAAGTCATGACTAAGAAAATTAAACTGCCAAAGGAAGGAGAAGAAAAGGAAGTTGAAGTGACTCGGACTAGGACTAAAGTCGTTCCCCTGCACTGTGACATTATTGGGGACCAGTTCTGGGAGGAATATCCTGAGATCTTGGCTGAGGGCAGTTGATGTCTCTGATAAGTATAACCAGTAGTTTGTGTTTGGCTCTGCTTGGGTTGTTGGCAAGTGAGGAGTGTGAATGGTGGCTGAGGAGAATTTAACCTGAAACCCTGTTCAGCAGTTGCATTAGGTCTAGCACTGCTGTTGCCTGAAAAAAAGATCCAGGTATTTTGTTTGACCTACGAGGATATGCCCATTTGGAAAACCTAATATATTATATTTTGAATGTTAAGAACTCATTGTAAATTAAGACTGTTCCTTCCTTGTATGTGCATATTTGTAGAAAAAGGGTATAGAAATTTCATCCATTTCTATAGCATTTAAACCAGGAGGTATTTTACTGAACTGCTAAAGTATAAAAAAGCTTGTATATTTGAACAATTAAAAGCAGAGAAAATAATGCTTTTGACTTTGTTTTAACTGAGGTGGACCAGGGTACATCAATTGGCATTTTAGTATTAAATTTCAAGGCCAGTGTGTTCAGTAAGATTAGTGAGAAACTGTTCAGCTGCCTAATGTCTCCGATTCTTACAGAAAGAAAATGAAGTAGCCCAGAAGTTTCCTATGACTGATTTTAAAAGCTTTTGTCATATGAACAGGATTTTTATACTTTTGAAAAAAATAATAAATTAATTTAAAAATTCCCTGCTGTGTTTATTACTTGGTCTTTCTCCAAGTTCCAGATGGTGAATTAATAATAAAGATACTAAATAGACTTGAATTCTGTTAGGACAGGGGTAGACATTGTGCTGTCACTCTCTGTGGCCTGGGAAGTCATCTGTCTCCTGCTGTGCAGTAGAATGAAAGGTAGCAGCACAGGGGAACAGTCCTGGTGTCTACAAAGGGGGTACTAACATGAACTTGCAGTTCTGTTCTCTGGTTTTTCTGGGCATGACACAGATGTAACAGCCCTGACAATAGCTGCTAGAGGGAAGGGTGGGGTTGGTGTTTGTTGCCTGCTTCATGCACAGTTTTGTTTGGGTTTAATTATCATTTAAGACCCTCTGTCAGAACAGTGAATCATACAGCCTCTCAGAGCAGAAATATAAATGGGCTTGTCCCAGTGTAACTGGATTTTGAGGGAAATAACCTATTTCAGTGTAGAAAAGCAATACATACATATAAGGCAATGTGCTCCAGCTGCCCCTGGCAGTAGCTGTCTGGGAAAATTAAATCTTCCCAAGATTTGAAAAGTACTGGCATGAGTGACACACACAGCTCGACCTGTGTCCTATGCCTGTGCTTACAGGTATTTCCACAGCTGAAGCCCTGCACTGTGACATAAGTGAAGAAATGAGTGTTTCTTCTGCAGCTGGTCTGCAACCTCTGGCCGATGTTGTGTTGCTGTAACAGGAAGCATTAAACATACAGGAACCAGTTATGAAAGATTAATGGTAGGTGGTGGGACTTGTTACAGTAAAGCCACTCTGTGGCATTAATGCGCATTCCCTTGCTTCAGAGAAACGCTTCTCCACTGGATGCCCTTTTACGAGTTAAAATGCAAATTCTACTGCAAGCACCTTCAGCTCGGGCGGCGGGCCCTGCTGGGGGAGCAGCCTCAGGGCAGCCGGGGGCTCCGGGCTGCGCTGCAGAGGCCCCAGGACAGAGACCAGGGTGAAGCTGCACCAGGGAGTTAACAACGTGCAGCGAGGAGAGAGAACATAACGGCGCACCGGTACCGCACCAGCCTCCCCGCGCTCCCCAGGCCCCGGCGGCGGCAGCTCCGCCCC